GTGTGTGTGTGTATTATGTGTGTATATAAAGACGTTTTGATAAAGTCTCTTCTGACGGAACAAAACAAGATCCGGCATGACATGAGCAGTGACGTTCAGCCGGAAAAAATCGGATTAAGCAATCCGATGTTGCTGGATCAACAGGATTTTCGTCTCACGTCCCGCTAATCCTAATCTAGTTTATGCGATTCGTCTAACTAGGTCTTTCTACGGTTTCCTGTGTTTCTTACTTTATCCTACTAAAATCATACGCGAAGTTTCAAATCGTGAGTGACTAGTTTTCTCTACCTGAGGTAGGCGACCGCATAAGTATCCGACATTTCGATAATTAGATGACGGAAGGAATAAATATATTTTGATAAAACTGAGAATAATTTTATATTCGAAGTAATATAAGAATGAGAAAAGAATTTTACGATTATTAGCGTTCTAAAATTTTTTGGTGTGAACTCGCACATATCCGTGAAATTTAAGACATCATTTCATGTCAAAGGAAAATTATTGAGAATTATTTTAAGTATTTTCTAATGCCTCTATCGAGGATAACATCGTTTGAGCAATTTACTTTAATCGACATTGATACGTGAACACCCTATGTATCTATCTTATATTCTTTAAGACCGTTATTCAAGCATTTAAGTCGTTACGCGATAATATCGGAATTCTGTGTGATATTTATACGTGATATTTATATCACGAGATTAGTTTCTAAACGTGTTACCTTAATTTATATTATTGATTTCGCGATTAAATAATAATTTACTGCTTAAACGTACGGCCGTAATTTCTTTTTGTAAAAATAGTCTTAATAGTTGTAATTACCATAATGTTAATAATAAAATAGTTATAATTACCATATAATGAATTAAAAAATCAACTTTAACTTTATGTTAAATATACGTCATTAATTTGGAAACGTATTTTAATTTTAATCGCTCTATTAAAATTTCATGCAATCGTGCACAATTGATCGTTATTATTCACTACCTCAGTTTTCTTTTTTATACATATATGTCCATTGATAATAATAATGTTTAAAATTTCGTATCTATACTGATTATATATATATATATATATA